TGCCATGGGGTGGCCATGCCCGGCAGCACGGAGGGCTAAGGGCGAGCGCGGTGGGCCGGATCCGGTGGGGTGCTGAGCACCCTGGCAGGAGCCAGGCTCCGAGCCATCCCTATTCCCCTGCTCGGCTCCCGCGAGCCGGTGATGGTGCCGGCGTTCGGCGCGTTGTTGCCTGCCTTTGCCAAGGAGATGTTTGCTTGGCTGTGCGGAGCCTCGCGAGGGCACCACCACCCCGGCCGCGTTGGGCTGAGGTTTCTGCCTGCTGCTGCCCCTCCACAACAGATGATGGACTTTCTCGGGGCTGTTTCTTCCCTGCTAACACCGTCTCTCCCATTAGGTGCTGGGGGATCGCGCCGTTTCCTTTCCCGTTGTCACCCTTTGGACACGTTTACGCGTCCCGCTGCAGCAGGATGCGGGCAGGAGCGTGGTGGTGGTGGCGGAGGAAGGCGTGTGGGTGGCTGGAACAGGGAGGTGGGCAGCGTTTCTGCTTCACCATCCGGTAACCGCCTGAGCTTGCAGCAGGGGAGTGCTGTAATTTGCAAAGCTGGTTTCTGGCACGCCCTGAAGATCAATAATCTGCTTAGCTGAAAGTTTGCTGGATCTCCGTCCTTCCCTTCATTTTCTCCCTTCCTTCGATTAGAGTGCTGGATTCCTTTCACGCCCTCCGATCTCCTTGCAGCTCTCATGAGCCTCGTGCTCTGTTGCATCCTGTTTGCTCAGGTTTCCTTGCTGGCTCTCGTGCCACTTCCTTGCTAATCGTTGCAGGACCCTGGGGCTGCGAGCTGACGTGGAGCCATGTGCGATCAGGCCGTTGGCAGTGCCCTGCGTTCTGCCTTGTCCTGGTCACTGCCCAGGCTTGGCTTTACGTTCCCCCTTGGGCGACAGGCAGAAGGATGAAGCTGCATCACCGCTGCCAACGCCGGAACAACCTGCTCCAGCCTGACGGAGCCGCTGCGTGGTCTGTTCCAGCTGAGGATGCTCTGCAACCTGGTGTGGGACAGGACCAGCTGTGGTGGGGCAGGGGGTGGCACTGCCTATCAGAGTCATGGTGGCCCCAGGCTGGATGCCTGCACCCTGACACAGTGTCCCCCACCCCATCCCTGTGCAGGAGAGTGATCCCCTGGAGAGACGCTGTCCTTCGAGTGCTCGGAGAAGCGCTCCTCCTCCGATATATCCCTGGGGAGCAGAGGTGTGGAAGTGGACCTCAGGGGACAGCAGCAGCTTTCCCTGCTTTGAGCCATCCCAGCTATCGCTCCTGCAGCCGCTCACGTCCCAAGCAGTTCCTGAACATTTAACCTGCATCAAGCAGCTGCCCGTTGAGCTTGTCTGATCCTGTAGGATCAGGCTCTTTCCCCACAGAACCTGGGTGCTGGTGTAGGGGAAACTGCCAGCGCTCCTCCTGACCCACAGCCCTGGCTGGTTTTTTCTCCTGGTCTTTTTTTCCCCTTAACTTTTTGGCAACCCGAGGGATCTCGCTCTCCCCGTGCCAGGCTCCGGTGCCCAGGAAAGGGTTACAGCTCTCCAGCACTGAGCATTTCAGTTCGCTTTGTTCAGCGCAATGCATATTTCATACGCTGAGCTTCCCAGCTGGCAGAGGCCTGGAAACCCTGCGAGCTGTCGGGTATTGTCTC